ACCTGGGCTTGAACGAACCCTCCAGGTGGTCCTGATGTGCATTCATGCTGAGAACCACGTGCTAGAACATTTTCTACCAGGTCTCTGGACCTCTGGTGGGGAACGTACCTTTGTTATGTCAGGATGCTGGGTTAACAACCCACAGCTGGTAAAGGCACAGATCATGGATAGCCCGGGAGCTCAGAGGCTCATCAGAAGAAAGCGCTGAGTGTTATGATTTTCTGCTCTGAAGGTGACACAGTGCAAAGCCTACCAGTCTCCTGCAACCATAGTAAGAGATCTGTGGCCTTCCCATCCTGACTGGCCACATAGAGCCCTGTTCCCAAAGGCTCTTCAAACCAGTCGCCTTGTCCTCTGAATGGTTCCCCTGATGGGTGAGTTCAGTACAGCTTGGCCCACATCCACCTTATGTGAGTGGGAATTACATTGAAGAATCCCCACAGCAGGCGCCCCCCTCCCACCTCACCTGTTCTGCATGTTTCCAAGGCCCCTCTGAGTCTTCTTTTCTGGGCTCCTTTCTTCCAGACTTTCAACGGTTGGTCCAGAAGGGGCGGTTCCTGGAAGCCTGCCAGAGCATCTCGGTGTTGGCAGAGGACGGGCAGGACTGTGGTCCCCAGTACCAGGTTGTGGCCAAGAGCATGTGGCCCATTGTCCAGGAGGCCCTGGGGAGCATTTCGTACAACGAGGAGCTGGAGCTGGAGCTCCAGGCAGCGGTGGCCGCCGTGCAGTGGGTATAGGACAACACCCGGAGTGCGGAGGCCGGCGTCCTCCGGGATGGTGGACTTGCCGCCTGGGGCCGTCATCTGGAGAAGCTCCTCAAGAGAGATGCTGAGGCCCGAGTGCCCACCATGAAGCCCTGGGGCCAGCTGGGCCCGTACCTGGAGGAGCTGGACAAGGCCGTGGGACCGGCCCTGGGGTCCCAGAGGGCAGGCCGGTTGGGAGCCCCACTCTGGGCAATGTACAGGACGTGCTTTCAGGTGGTCCTCCTCAGCCGCCTCTCCCAGCTCGTCTCCTCCCACAGTCATGACAGGGAGAGCTGTTGTGAGCTGTACACCTGGGGCGAGAGGACCTTGTGTGGGCAGCTGAGGTGAGTCCTCTGAGTGCCCCGGGTCCTGGGCCAGACTGGTGCCTGGTGGTGAGGACCCTCAGGCCCACGTCTGTGGTCAACGCAGAGGCTTTGGAAGGACCACCTGAGCAGGAGTGTCGTCAGGGAAGGGCAGACTCAGTGGTCTTGGGGACAGTGTGTGCACACACGTGTGTATTAGTGTGTGTGTGTCAGTGTGTTCGTTGTGTAGCATGTGTATGGCGTGTTAGTGTGTGTCAGCGTGCATGTTAGGCTGTGTCTGTGCCTGTATATGCGGAGCTCATGACCAATGGTCGTGTGTGACCCCTGAGGCTTGTCTACCCCGGTAGAGCTGTTTGCTGCCATTTGTCGACCCCAGCTGCCCTCTCAGGCACAGGCCCTGTGTACGGGGGTGGGGGTGGGGCAGCACTGGCAGGGGGGCAGAGGGGTGAGCAGGCCACCAGCCCTGCCCAGCGCTGCCGGTCTGGAGTCCACTGCCCTTAGCTCTGAGCTTTCCTCCGTACCCCAGCCCCTCTCATCATCCCTCTCCCATGCTCAGCTCTGTGCCCTCATGGCTCCTTGCAATTCAGCAGGGAGACACTTCAGAAAGGAGGTCCCAGCTCCCGGAAGCCCATGGACGGGAACCTCTTGGACCCAGCGATGTTCGTTACCTGGATGTCCCAAATGCTGGAGAAGCTGGTGGGGCTTATCCAGGTAAAAGACCTCCAGGAGCATCTGCCACCGAGGCCCCCTTGTCCTGCATCTGGGGGAGAGCAGGCAGGGGAGGGCAAGAGTGGGGGCTGGGTGGTGAACTTGAGCCAGACCCGGAACCCACCCCTAGGACTGGTGGGGGGCGCTGATTGTGGCCCTTGACCACTGTCATGTGGGCAGTAACATTGTGCTGTGGGTCGGGAGCATGAGGCTGTCACGGAGTGGGCCGTAGGGGTAACAGCAGGCCAGGTGTTGCTGCTGCCTTGACCAGTATGCGGTCTGGCTCCCTCTGCGCTGGTGAGGGACAGAGCAGCCCAGTGAGCCTTGGATGGAGAGCCGGTTGTCCCAAGGCGGGAGCACAGTTAATCCATGGCGAACACAGTTAGGACTTAAGGGGACATCACAATTTTCTACTGCCATCAGTTTCAACCCATGTGGTTTCCTGTCACAGCGTTTCTGGTCTCAGGGCACAGGCGTGTCAGCGGTCATGGGGACTAGTGGAAAACACTTCAGGGTCTGGGGAGGCTCTCTGCCCTTCTTAGCTTGGAAACTAAGCTTTGTGACAGTGAGACAAAGAATGGGTGTAGATTTAACTGGAATTTTCCAGTTACTGGTATATAAATGCCTCCAGCCATTTCCTCAGCTGCTAACAAGATGCGATGGCCAGACTCAGGGCTGTGTCTCCTTGAAGCACCTGGGTCTGAGGCCTCCTGCTCCTTCACGGCTCTCCCTGAAACTGCAGTGTGGTAGTGTGGGCTGGGTTAAAGAAGACAGGGCTCATCACTCTCTGCTCTTCCTCACTCTGGGTGCCGGGAACTGGCTGAGCTGTCAGGTGTCCGAGTGGTCAGTTCAGACCAGCAGCCAGAATGAATGTAACAGTGCAGCCTGTCAAGTCTTACTGAGGTGGTACCAGCAGGTGCCGGCTCCCCTGTTCCATCTCCCTGGGGACCGGGTGAGGATCAGGTGTATGGGGGGAGTGGGAGGAAGGGCTAGGAGTGGAAGGGTACTGAGTGCTCAGCCAGGGCCCCCCATAAGCAGTCCTCCAGGTGGAGGTCCCTGGGCTAGGAACGCAGATGTGCTCAGGAGCACGGGTCCGAGTCCTTGCTGGCAACTCCCTCTGAGACCGCAGTGCACTGGCCACGCCCCAGGCCCGGGGTGGGGAGAGCAGCTTCCCCCTGAGCCTGCCTGGGAAGCCTTTGTCACTGCCTGTGGGCGGGCCCGAGGGGTCACACTTAGGGGTTTGGCCAGGAGCCGGGCTCCAGCGCCCTGGCCTCCCTGGCACAGCCTGGTTCCCACAGGCCTCAGTAACCTCCAGGTGCTTGGCCAGGCCTTGTCAGTCCTAGCGGTCCGCGGCCTGTGTGTCCCCCAGACTGGGGTCTCCGGGCGCCCCTGTCAGCTCACAGCTGCCGCAGGGGCTCTGGTTCCCAAGGAGAGGTAGATGTTCATTGTCCCCAATCGAGTGAGTGGGTGACGACGGGAAGCAGATGCCTTGTCAGGAATGAAGAGGGGGGAGTATCTAGAAGGTGCTTCACAGACCACCCCTGACGGCCAGAGGGATGGAGGCCATGAAAGAAGGGGGTTGCTCAGGAAACTGGGCACCTCCCGGGGGGGAGTTCAGGCTGCTGGTTGGCGGGGCCCCCAGGCTGACTCCGTTCTTACCTCTCATTCCTGTCCTCAGCGGGGGCGGCAGCCTCAGCTGTAGAGGGGCTGGACCTGGCTGCGCCTCGGAGAAGAGTGTTGGGATAAAAGCTGTTTTCATTGTGTTCTGGGCAGGAGGAGTTGAAAGAGCGTCTAAGAAAACTCCTGCTCTCTGATCAGAAAAAGTGGGCTGAATCTCTCCAGCCAATGTTCCACAACATCCGCCAGGTACATGCCCGCTGGCACCTTTCAAGCCCACCACAAGGCTTCCTGGCCCTTCCTGAGTGCCTGGCGGGTGGGGGCAGGCCTATGTGACTGACGGTGGTCAGGGGCGAGGTGCAGCAAGGAGGGGACAGGGCAGGGTGGAGATTGGGGCTCAGGGGCATTTCAGCAAGGACAGCGTTGGGGTATACACACTGTCTGAGGGCGTCGGGCGGAGACAAGCGGGGGACAGACAGCACTCAACCCGGAGGCCTGGCCCGTGAATGGTGGGGTCCCAGTGCTGGGGTGCAGGGCGTATCTTTTGGGGAGAGGCCTCTTCCTGGAGCCTCTCAGTTTATGAACTTGACTGCCCGGGTCTCAGTGAGGACCTGCATAGAGATGGGTGCCTGGGGTGGGCGGGACTTCAGCAGGGAGGGCGCTGAACCTTGAGGAGGTGGTCATTTGGTCCATGAGAGTGAGGGATGTTTGGCCCAGGAGGAGGACAGGCCACCAGCGTGTGTGTGTGTGTGTGTGTGTGTGTGTGTGTGTGTGTCTGTGTTGTGGGGTGGTTTTTTTTTAGAGGATCTGGGGCCGCAGGTTTCTGTTGCTTCCCCTGACAGCTCAGGGTCAGAAGGAGAAAAGGAGATGCTGGGGACGTTAGGCAACTTCAATGCCTTTATGCCAAGATTCAGGTGTGGAGTTGGCAGCTTGGGTGGGGCTGGGGCCGCCTCTGGTCCAAATGGGAGAAGCCCAGCCTGTGGATGAGGACGTTGTTCAGGTCGGCTGATTGCAGGACACAGTGGGGGGTGCGAGGGAGAGAGGCTTAGCAGGATGGGGGGGTCATGGGCCTGGTGAGAGGCGTGGCACCTGCAGCAGGCAGGGGGCAAGGGGTGGGGACAGCTGTGACAGGCACGAAGTTGGGGAGGGCCACATCCTCCTAGTGTCCACTGGCTGTGATCAGCCCTGGGTCCTCATGAAAGCCTGCTTGCTTTGACTGACAGCTGTTGGAAGAAACCATAAACGCAGTCCGACACATTGGGCCGCCCATCACCAGACCAGCCATGTTTCTGGAAAGATTTCCAAGGTTTCTGGAAAGGTACGTGAAAAAGTGGGCCCTGACCAGCCCGGGGGGGCACCGGCGGCTGGGTTCACCTAACTCAAGTCAGAGCCCACCAGCCGCTGGCCACCACGCCGTTGGCCAGTTCCCGGTGCAGGGGAAGGGGGCGGGGTTGACTTCAGGTCCCCCAGTCCTGCCTGCTCCCCCTCCCGCCCTGGCTCTGGAGGCAGCTGAGTGTCAGGGTGGAAACCCCCAGGTCAGCGTCCTCCAGCGTGGAGGCACCAGCCCTGGGGGGCTGTTGAGTGAGTTCGCCAGAGGGACTGAGGTTTAGATTGTATTTAATGTTAATTAGTTGACGTTTGAACAGCACACGGGGTGGGGGAGGGCAGGACGGTTGGCGCTCCTGTGTTCGACAGCAGGGCTGGGATTGGGAGAGCCTTGGAGGGGGTAGGGGAAGTGCAGGGTCGGATCCTTTCCTTACTTAGCATTTGGTGTTCTGCTCATCACGGATTTTCACTGATTTCAAGCTTTAAAAATATTGCGGTAGGGGCCGGCCCGTGGCTGAGCGGTTCAAGTTGCACATGCTCTGCTTTGGCGGTCCGGGTTTGCAGGTTCGGATCCCAGCACGGACCTAGACCACTCATCAGCCATGCTGTGGTGGCTTCCCACATACAAAATAGAGGAAGACTGGCACAGATTTTAGCTCAGGGCGAATCTTCCTCAGCAAAACAAACAAAGAGTATTACAGTAAATTACTATTTATCTCGGTCGCTCAACTTCTCCGTGCTCCCTTAAACCTGCAGCCGGGGCCAGTGTCCCTCTGCCCTCTCTGGTTTTCACAGCAGGACTTGCAGTCAAATCCCTGGGCCCATCACCCAGCTCTGTGTGGGCGGGGCCTCTGCCTCTGCCTCTGTCCTAGGGGCCTGAGCGAGGGTAGGTGCTGTGGACTCATTGGTCCCACAGGGAGTTATTAAGAAGCAAGTTCTGGATGAAGCGCTGTGTGCAGCCGCATCAGGAGGCTCCTTTCTCTGGGGTCTTCAGATGGTCGTGTTCACCTGGGACAGGGTCTCCAGAGGGGCTGGCACCAGGTGGGTTACTTAAGAGAGGCTGGACACGTGGAATTTTAGGTGAAATCAGCCAGGTTTAAATGTTACAGAAAACCAGCTAAGTGCCCAGTTTGAAACCTTGATCCGCATTCTTGGGACTCACTCAAGAGTGCCCATTCTTTCCTGCCTTTGGGGAGCAGGGAGGATATGAGCTCTCCCCAACCTCTCCCCACTCTCTGCTCAGGGCAGTGGGGGGACAGCTGTGATGGCCCAGGCGGGCATGGGGCGCTGCCTCCTCCTCTTGTGAACACTCCCAGACCTTACTCAGCCTCTCACAGGAGGCCAGCCTGCCTCCAGGAGTGCTGAATTCTCCCCGGCCTTCTCCTTCACCAGCCGGGAAGGGCAGGCCTCTAGAATGCAGCATATGCTGTGATTCCAGACCACAGGAAAAACCCCACTCCCATCCTGTTCTGGAAGCATTGACCCCAAAGGGTCATGGAGAGCATTAGATGAGAAGATCCTTAGGAAGCATCTAGTCCGTTCCTGGCACAGAGCCAGCCCAAGTACAACCTCGCTGCCTTGTATCCATCAAGGTTATCATCACCCTCATTTATGATCCTATGAGAGAAGCAGCAGTTGAGCTGAGAAGGGAGAGTCGGGAGGGTCCAGCGGGGTGGGGCCGACCTGTGGGGCTGTGCCTGGTCTGAGGGGCTGGCATCTCCGCCTTCACACCGAAGCTACAAGGACGAGGCTGCACGCTTCATCCAGCAGAACGCCGGTGACCAGACCTTCCCCGAGCTGCACGTGCTGGAAAACTGCTGCATCCTCAGGTGTGTCCCCGTAGGGGGCAGGGGGCCAGCTGAGCTGGCGGCTAGGTGGCCAGGCTTTGGACCCTCTGGGCCAATCCATGTGGACCGTAGATTTGTTGCCATCTGTGATAAAAGAGTGAAGACATCCCCCCTCCCCCCACCACCACACATGCGTGTAGGGAATTGCAGGATTTCGTGT